AGGCCGTCTTGCATTATTATGCGGTTACATTATGATTCAGTGGCATAAAATGGTCTTTAAAATGACAATACATTATTAATACAAATTAATACATAAATTATTATACAAAAGGTTATCTACTCTTACTGTTTTTGGTTGTGATAATGGTTGGCAATAATTGTGTCCTGGCAACTTGAACCTTATAAATGTAACTTATAACACTTTATCTCCTTTGCCAAATGCATGTTGGAGCCTGCAGGTGTTGTCTTACAGCAGGTCTGCTTTTCTCTAGATCACATTGTTCAAGATTAATACAACCTTTTTGAAAATAATGCATTGCAGCCCTTTTCATTTAAATGGCTTTCATTGTGATATGCAGCATAATGAATTCTGTTAGCTTTAAACCAGATGTATTTGATATATTACTATTATAAAAGTCCACCAAAGTAGAAATGCTGTTGTATGAAACTCAAAATAATGAAAAGTAATTTTTGCATTGTAATATTAAATGAATTCCTAGTGTCTAAAAATGTAAAATGCATTGAATTAATAATGAAAATAGCTGAAAATGCATCAATTATGGAATTCAGAAATTCTCAATGTTTCACACTGTTGTATGATACTCAGAATACACCGTTACATTGTGGAGGTTTTACTGCAAAAGTATTTTTTTTGTAGTTAACACTTGATTTATGGGGCAGTCGTGGCCTAATGGTTAGAGAGTCGGACTTGTAACCCAAAGGTAGCGGGTTCGAGTCTCGTACCGGCAGGGATTGTAGGTGGGGGGAGTGAATGTACAGCGCTCTCTTCCACCCTCAATACCACGACTGAGGTGAGACCCTTGAGCAAGGCACCAAACCCCCAACTGCTCCCCAGGCGTCGCAGCAACATGGCTGCCCACTGCTCCGGGTGTGTGTTCACTACTGTGTGTGTGCACTTGGATGGGTTAAATGCAGAGCACAAATTCCGAGTATGGGTCACCACACTTGGCCACACGTCACTTCACTCAGTTTATGCATGCCTATGTAAAGTACATGAAGACATTATTATAGTCTTTAGTCCTTGTCAGAAGATAGTTTCAGGAAAAAATGTATTCAAATTTTAAATGATCAGTCACACAGATTTTGTATTATGTTTCCCAATTATTATTTTTTATTGAATTTTTTTAAATATTACTACTGAATATTGCTACTGTTTTTTTTTTTAAATATAACTATGAGTAATAACTGTTTTCTATTTTAATATCATTTTAAATGTAATTTATTGCTCTGATGGCAAAGCTGATTTAAAAAAAAATCTATTTAATGTGCCCTTGCTGAATACAAGTTTATTTATTTTTAAAAATTGTAATGACCCCATATGAACGGTAGGTAGTGTGTGTAAATATATTATTTTTAGTGTACTTATTTTACACATGTGTACAATTCACAATTATTTCTTCTTTATTGTCCATTGATGTGTGTGGAATTTACAAGTGGAAATTATGTATATTATTGTTATTCATATATGCAGAGTTGTGTGCTAAGATATTTCCTTTATTTTACCAATGTTATGTATAAGATGATTCAGGGGCATCATTCTCTGCGTTTTGCAGTTTGAACTCAACAACAAAGATGACATGGTTTATAGATAGTTACTAGGGATGCACCGAATGTTCGGCAACCGAAATTATTCGGCCGAAAGTAGCAAAAAAAACTCTTTAGGTGTTCGGCCGAATAAGCGAAAAGACCGAATAAATTGTACCGAACAATGACGTGACGCTATCAAATAGCAACCAGCGTAGAGTGAGAGGCGCACACTCTTTATAATGCAACAAACATGTCAGCAGTGTGGAAGCATTTAAACTGTCCGAGAAAGACGCTAAAATCTTTACAAGCACCGACAGCGAGAGACTGTTTTTTACTGCATCGCAAGTCTTCGATGAGAAGAGGAAGGGGTGATTGTTGCTGGTTTACTGTATGATGGCTGAAATCGCGAAATGGCTTTAAACAATTAGTAAATAAACTGCAGAACGTTATGTTTTTCTAATGCACGCACGAATTGCATGTATTCTGACAGCGCTGCACGAACTCGTGGCAGAAATGCTGAGTTTAAAGTCCAAAGCGTGAGGAAAACCTGCGCTTGGAACAGTGTTACTCATCAGTTGCTCAGTCACATTTTTATGAATTTTTACTAGGGCTGTGCAATTAATCGCATGCTATTGTCAAGCGCATCTCGTCAGTAAAGCCGGTTCCGTGATTGGTAGTAAATCGCCATCACATGCTTTCAGATGGTGCGGCATTTAATACACAGAGCATGGAGATTTACTATTAATCACAGAACCGGCTTTACTGAAGAGATGCGCATGACAATCACATGCGATTAATTGCACAGCCCTAATTTTTACAAGGCATGTGACAATGCGATACGTGCTACGTATTCGTAATGAGACTCATTTATAAATCTGCTGTCAACAAAAAGAAGCATTGAGGTCTTCCTGTGTGTTTCTCAGTCACATTTTTATGAATTTTTACTAGGGCTGTGCAATTAATCGCATGCTATTGTCAAGCGCATCTCGTCAGTAAAGCCGGTTCCGTGATTGGTAGTAAATCGCCATCACATGCTTTCAGATGGTGCGGCATTTAATACACAGAGCCATAGTTCACTGACAAGCTAGGCAATATCGCGTTCATAATCGAATGCGATTCATCTGCGATAATGAACACAATATTGCCTAATTGTCAGTGAACTACGAGCTTTACTGAAGAGATGCGCATGACAATCACATGCGATTAATTGCACAGCCCTAATTTTTACAAGGCATGTGACAATGCGATACGTGCTACGTATTCGTAATGAGACTCATTTATAAATCTGCTGTCAACAAAAAGAAGCATTGAGGTCTTCCTGCGCGTTTCCACCAAAATAAAAGTTGACAAAAAGCAAGAACTCCAACATTCATAAATGTTAGTATTGTAATTTTATTGTTGTTCTATAAAATAAAATAAAAAGGAAGACAATAATTATGATAATATTTACAACAGCTCTGTTAATACATTTATTATAACATACACACATAGTGTTCAAATTGGGATCTGTAATATTTTGTAATGTTTTAAAAGAAGTCTCTTCTGCTCAGCAAGGCTGCTTTTTACAGTAAAAAATACATGCCTGATTCAAGAAGGGGGTCTGATTGCCAAAAAATATTATTTTAGTAACTTATTAATTTTAAGTTAAAATTGTGCTTTGTTGGTATAATGTCTGCTAGAATGTTAAATGTTTAGTGTTAAATATTTTTAAATTGTTGTTTTGTAATTGATTTTTTTCTTTGAAAAACAAGACAAAACAGTAAAAAGCACATTTTGGCTATTCAATTTATGCAATGGTGGAAAAAATGGTCAAAATACATGGGGGGAAAACTTGAAAACCTGTGTTCGGCCTTCAGCCCAGTGTTTCATTTTGTTCAGTTTTGGCTTCGGCCAAGAATTTTCATTTCGGTGCATCCCTAATAGTTACTAGGTTTAGTAGATCGAGGAGACCCATGTCTTTTTGCTTAAAGGCGGAGACCCAGCTACATGCATGCTCTACGACCCGCCTTTCCATTAAACATTTTATTGGACTGTCCTGGTTTTAATGCATGTACAAAACTTTTTTTATAAAGTACGCTCACATTTAGGGACTTGTTTAGTAAGATTTTACCAGAAAAGATTTTAGTTTTTTTTTTTTTATCAATGTTAATTTGCTAATGTTAATTAGGTGCTGTATTTTTGTGTTTTGTTTTGTTTTTATTTTGTGTTTATGTAACTTGTATATTGCAACTCCGTTTCTCCCATGAAGATAGCCTTAGATGCTTACATGGGATGGGAATAAAAATAACTACTACTACCAGAGGAAGTAGTCAGCCCAAAAATATTTGTTTAAGTATTTAGTTTTGAGGAGCCCAGTGTGCATCTTGAACTCAAGCAGAGTTTATGAACAAGAGGAGAAATAGTTTCCATCAGTGTTATCCATGTAATAGTTCTGTAGCGGTTATGCTCTAAACAGTTTAGACAATCTTTCACACATCCTTAAATTGTACAGTGTATTTTGATTTGACACAGAACTCTGAATGCAATAAATCAGGGATGGAGCACTTTCAAGCATGTTAAATCCTATTTATATGCCCTATAGACACAATTTAATAAATGCATGATGCACCCATAGGAAAAAAGACACACTGGCACTTTCTACCGGGAAGCCACATGACTTCAGCTGAGAAAACTATACGCTTAGAAATTTGTAGTAATATTTGGGAGTTGTGCTGTCCATTAAATCTCTCTTCTTTCTTAATTATAGATATTCTGTTTGAAAAATAGTGTCTCTCTGCTATGGAGGAGAGTGTGAGCCCTGAGCTGGCTCAAGCCCCAGAGCCTGAGCCCAGCCAGGATCCTGTGGATACCAGCTCACAAGGTACCCACGGCCCACTCCACTACACTACATACAAGAGAGCCGTGGGATTCACTCCAATCAGGGTTTCAAATTGGGAAATTGCTGAAACAGGATGTAATCACTGAGATTTAAGAGTCTCTTTATCTGTTCTGGGCAGGCACTGGAAAATATTAAATGGCTAAAACCTTTTTTTTTTTTACAATAATTTTTCAGAATGTGGTGTCACCATATCAATTAAAATGCCTTTTTCTTTTACTGAAAATTCATCCGCGTTTTCATTGACTTATCAGCTTGAAAGCACATATCACAGTTTTAATTGTGATCCAAATCGCAAAGCTACACTATGCTGATAATTAAACAATAATTGTTGAATTGAACTTTAATTTTGCTACGTCTCACACACAGAACCAACATCAGTCTCAGAAGAAGTCAAAGATCAAAAAGACCAAGGTGATGTTAGTGAAGACAAAGTAGAGGACCCTGACAAATCCACAAAGCCCCCACGTGAGTTTAAGAAGACTTGGGGTTTTCGTCGGACCACCATTGCTAAGAGGGAAATCCCTGGAGAAATGGCAGAGACCCCAGAGGGCAGGGGCGCCCCAGTGCGTCGCAGCGGCAGGCAGGCAAAGCGCACAGACAAACTGGAAGAGTTTCTGGTCACTGTGAAGCGAGGAAGAGGAACGGGCAGGAGAAGTTGTCCCTCACGACTTGAGGGAGGAGATCCTCCATCCCAGACCCCAACCGATGCTGAAACGGCCTCCGAAGCCAGCTTTGACGGAAATGCAGATGCTAAAATAGAGGAACAGAAAGTGGCCTCACCAGAGAAAAAGAAAAGTGGTCAGGGACGGACGAGGAGGGCAGTGAAGCCTAAAGCTGGCGGGGGCTCGGTGAGTGATGATGGCAGCTCTGAAAACGAAGAAAAGGATTCCGGTGAGGTAATGAAAGAGACTCAAGGAAATGTTGAGACTGCGGCCAGTGCTGAAGATGGAAAGGATGAGAAAGAGGAACAAGTGAAGGATGTGGAGATGAAAGAAGAGGAAGGTGAGGAGGAGTGTAATAAGAACAAAGAGAAGACCTCAAACGAGTCCTTAAATAGACGTCCTACTAGAGCAGTCTGTAAAGACTCCAAAAGAGACACTAAACCCAAAGTAGGAGTGAAGCTCCGCAACGAGAAGAAAGAAGATGATGATGATGAAGATGATGACGAAGAGTCATCGTCCAGTGAGTCTGACAGTGATGGTTATGACCCTAATGCACTTTACTGCATCTGCAGGCAGAAACACAACAAAAGGTATGTCTTTGGAGGTGCAAAAATGTTGGTAGCTGGTATATGTTATTTGATGGATACTGGGATAATTAAATTATTGATGCATGTAGATTCATGCATAAAAATGAGTCTGATACTATTTTCTTTATGAAATTTTTATTATTTTAATAAAATTTGTATAAATATTTAAGTTATAAAATGTGTTATTTGAAATGATAAATTTAGTTTTTGAAATATACATTTTATACATATACAAGAATTATACATTATAAATTACTATGAAACAACAGTTTTAATAATATTGGTTTAGATATTTATATATAATGTAATAAATGTATTATAATGTATCACATAAAAATTATTATACAAACAATTAAAATGTTAAAGTGATTTTATAGATGTTTAATTTCAGTAAAGTATGTTCTAAAAGTAAAGAGAGTTATTGCAGCAGAAGATCAAAAACACTAAGGAACTAAACTGAAGTGTTTTTTAAGTATTTTAAACTAAATAATGAGTTTGCCCAGGAGGAATCTATATATATTGTGTGCTAGTAATTGGTTTGCATGCCAAAACTATTTGGTCTTGTGAAAGTTATTGTCATATACGTCTTAAATCTAAACTCTATTTTGCAGTGTTACATTATAAAACCTTATATGGTATGAACTAGACGCATGAAAATCACACGTTAGATACACAGAACACAGTATGCATATAACAGTGTCCTTATTACATTTACATTATATTTAGTCATTTAGCAGACGCTTTTATCCAAAGCGACTTACAAATGAGGACAATGGAAGCAATCAAAATCAACAAAAAAGCAATGATATACAAGTGCAATAACAAGTCTCAGTTAGCTTAACGCAGTACACGTAGCAAGGGTTTTTTAAATAATATAATAAATGAACAAAAAAAACCCGATATAATAGAAAAAGAATAGAGCAAGCTAGTGTTGGAGGTCTTCTTTGCTTTTGTTAATTGTATAATAAATGAAAAGAAAACATAGAATACAAAAAGATTATTATTATTATTTTTTTTTAAGAAAACAAGCAGCAAATAGTGCAAGTCTAAAAGGGACAAGTGTTTTTTGTTTTGTTAAGAATAGAATTAGAATAGAGAGTGCTAGAGTTAGAAAGTCAAATAAAGATGGAAGAGATGTGTTTTTAGCCGATTCTTGAAGATGGCTAAGGACTCAGCTGCTCGGATTGAGTTGGGCAGGTCATTCCACCAGGAGGGAACATTTAATTTAAAAGTCCGTGAAAGTGATTTTGTGCTTCTTTGAGATGGCACAATAA